AGTTCAGGGGGAGATGGGAAAGAGGGGGCAGATGGGGTTCAGGGGGAGAAGGGAGAGGGGAGGCAGGTGGGGTTCAGGCACCAACTTTGAGTTGTTCGCACAGGACAGAACCAAGACCCAGAATGTTCATTGCATGTGTTGGGTAAGGGAGGTGCTGCCAGAGCCATTTTCAATGAATAATGGTTCAAGTTCAAATGAGTACTGTGGGTAAGGGATGCTAGTACTCATTAGGGTTTACTTGGCCTTTTAACAAGGGCCATCCTTTGAACTGCTCTCCTTGAACCAAAGGTCAGGTGTGCAGAGGGAATTCAAATCCCTTCCTTCTCCAGGCACAACATAGGATCTTCCCTTGTTACTGCTGAGATTGGGGAGATGGTGCCTAATAACCCTTGTCCTGGCCAGGACCATCATGCAGTCCAGGCAGTGGTAATGTCAGCCACTGGCCCTGATGGGGCACTACCTGGAGGACAATGACATTGATGTGGGTACTATGCTGGTTGTGATGCATGATGCAGAAGACAATGCTCTGGAGGCTGTGGCACTTTGGGCCTGCTACTGAGTGCCACTTTGAGGCTGGGCACTATTGGTGAGCACAGACTGGCGGGAGCAGCTCATGCTTCAAGCCTGGGATGTTGGCCAATGGCAACAGAATTTCAGGATGTCTCGGGGCACATTCATGGACCTTTTTGCCAAGTTGGCCACCGGCTCCAATTCCAGAACATGTGTTGTGCTCTGGCTTCCCCTTTCTGTCAAGCATCACAATAGCTGTGTGGAAGCTTACAAGCCCTGACACTTGCATTGTGGCCAACCAGTTTGGTTGGTGTGGGACAGGCAATAGCAACCATGGCCGTGCACAAGATGTGCAAAGCCATATTGCAAGAACTAAGATGTGCTCTGGTAGCCACAGGAGTAGGTTACCATATATCTGGGTTTTCCCAGACAAGTCCTCTTTTTGGGTCCTCCCATCTCCATGCAGACATTTTTTAAAAATATGAACAAATGCCCAGGAAATTGCTGGTACAATTGCATTTCCCAGCTTGCCCTAGTGGCCTGTGTGTTTACTAGGGATGAGTTTTCCATTTGTGGTAAAACACAGATTTTCCTCTCTAAAGGAAGAAACTGCAGCTTTCCCCTTGTATGTGGGCAGCCTTCCAGCCTGCAAAGAGCTGTTTGGGGTGATGGGAATTGAGGGGCACCATGCGTGTC